GCAGCTAGCGATTTGCAAAGATTAATATATTAATATAAAGTTTAATAAAACGTTACACTCACTTCCGTTCTTCTGGAGATTCAGCAGGAACACGAATAGCTGGTACCGATCTTTTTTCATGAGCAGCTTCTTAGCAAATCCAGCTTTATACTGACCCTCGTTTATAAAGCAGTCTGGTGTGTGAAATGATTCGCGCAAACATGAGAGCATTGACGTTGCTCGTGGGGAATATTCCCTTCGAAAACAAACTCAGCCACTGCGTCTTCAGCGGTTCGGATTTAGGAACATTAAAATGACTGCTGTGTTCGTTATTACACCCAAGAACAGAACACCACAATCGCTTAGACGCCATTCTGCTCATAGACAGTGCTCCAGCATATCAACAATGACCGCGCCGGTCCGCGCCGTGCAGACTATGATTGACAGCTGGCTCACGTGCGAGGGCGGGTCTGTGTTGAAACGCGGCTGTCATTCAACAATCGTGGGAGGGGCGTGCGAGCCTGTGACGTCACAGGCTCGAACGGCTCGATTTGAGGCAGGGGAAAACATATAAGGAGATTAAAACAAAACCACTGGATGGATTTTTATCATTATATGATGGTTGTGTACAGGCACTGCCAACACACATTTCAGTACAATCAACTTGTAAAAGTGCATGTACCATTATATGACCCCTTTAAGGCTGTCTTCTTCATAAAAGAAGTCGGACATCACATTTTTGTATACATTTTTATTTCTTTAAATTAGTAAGCTACAGGACACCATCTTTCAAAACATGACCTGCGCGAAAGAGAAAAGTGAATGAATGCGTCATTGTTCCCAAATGCACTTCCGAATGCGCCTCTGTTAATTTCAAACCAAACTGACGCCCATAGATCAAATTCTGCAGGTAAAATTACAATAATAAGGTGACTTGACTTGGACTTGACTTGACCTACTACAAGACTTGACTTGACTTGACATAGCCTGTGACTTGACTTGACTTGACTTGCCCAGGAAAAAAATACTTGGGACTTACTTGAGACTTGAAGGTTAAGACTTGAGACTTACTTGAGACTTGCACATGTGTGACTTGGTCCCATCTCTGGAAAAGAGTCACTGGAAAAATCACTAAACCTTATTTATGACACTTATTTAGAGGGAAAACTACCAGACCGAAAAGAAATGAATAAAAACAGTCGACAATGCATTTTTTTTTTTAAATCATTTTATTTTCAAAATTGAATAAGGGGAGTAAACGGCACTGTTCGTTTAAAAAGGTTCCATTATTTCTTTGTTAAATGTAAGAATGGCCTGGCTCACAAAATGAACCCAATACAGCACACTGTTTTCTGGTACTACAGATTTCTTATTTTAAAAATTGAGTTTAGGAAAACAGAGCTATGCTCTGGTAGCCCCTGATGGAGCTCTGAAATTTGATGAAACCTAACAAATGGTGAAAGTTTAAACCTATTTATAGGTATATTTAAATAATTTCCTATATTTCCTCTGTATTAACGTGTACTGACCAGATAAATTTCATGAGCCAAACACGAGTGCTCAGCAAAGAACATCACACGTACAAAGATTAAATGATAGCAAGAGAACACTGATAGACATTCAGAACTTCTAGTGCGTACATCAGAACTACAGAACATTTAACATGGTTCACCACCTCCTTTTCCACTGGCCGCTTTTTAACGTTTCAAAAGCAAATTCAACAGGATTTCGGCATGTTCTCATCTTTTCTCACAGCTCTTTGGGTTCATTACTAAACGCCATCTGACATGAAGTTGCATTGAGCACCACAGACAATCCAGAGGTAAATAGAGGGCAACCGTTATGACTGATCCTGTTTTTTTGTGGCTCTTTATGGTAAATGCAGAAGAATGTGTGTTATTGAATAGGTCACTATCACAAGATCAAGTGAGGAATAGAAAGAAGGGGCAAGATTGATGTTGGGTTTGATTATTCTAAAACAACCTGAGGAAGCTGTAGTATTTTTCTCTGTAACCTTAGGGCTGACATAATACAAATCAGTGCAGAAAACAGAAAAACAACCCCTTGTACTCCAAAACATCATTGCATGTGTCAACAACTGACATCTGATGCCAGTGCGAGAGGATTCACTATGCATCAGAAAGTCATTTGTGACCCAGACTGGTCGTCTTACTTTTTAAGCAAAACTACTTTTTAATTTTTTAACGCATTACCTTCAAATACTCCAAAACATAAGTAGGAGTCTGTAGCATAAATCAATGACCTCTCTTACTCGGACAAAGACCTTAAAATAACCCCTTCCTGAATCCAACTGCATTGTGGGGAGAAAGTTCAACTGGTCCTCCAGTGTGTCACAGTTTGTTTAAATCCTTCATTTGAGGTTACAATGTGGAGTAAGCTTGATATTCTGTTCACTTTCCGTGCAAAAGGTGTATAACAGTTGTTTTATACATCAACTATAGCCTATCTGCATAAATTCTCTGTTCTGACCTTGCTGTAGAAAAATAAGAATATCTATTTTTTTTTAATATATAATCCTCTTTAAAAGTTACTATAAAGCTAAATGACAGTTACATTCAATCAATAATCTCACCTTGCTCATCCTAGCCATGCTGTTCGGTCACAAAATGTCTGTGGCATTGAAATGTACAGCCGTCCATTAAGTCTACATGACCACAGAAACCATAACCAACACATTAATGACCGTCATATACTATAGGAGTGACTCGAAGAGTAAACGAACAAAAGGATGAGTTCGGTTACATACTGCATTATCATAGACCACTATTCTATCGGGTGGATACTAAAACATGAACAGCGTTTGGACCAGCACTCCGGATGGGAGGCTTCAACATCCCGCACAAACCGAACATTCAGACTGGCACTTTTGATATGGAAAATATTGGAATGAACCTGTCTACTTGTACTAACCTTAAAAAGGCAATATTGCTCATTAGTGCACTAAAATGTGACGATTAGAATAATTAAAACAATAACATGGTCTTGTCTCACAAGACCAATGCAACTGTCAAAACTGCGCTAGCTGCTACTCTCAGCTTTTACAATATGAAATGGTCACACTTTATATTAGATGCATTTAACTAGTACTTACTTTCACACACAACAATTTTTGGTTACACTTTATTTTAAGGTGTCTTTGTTACACTGTAATTATGCATTTAAGTACGCCGTAAAATTAAGCAACTACTCAGTAAAAAATGTTTAAACTTAAAAAAAGTAAGTGTTCGTGCTGCCATAAATTGTCATTTTAGTCAACTTGAAATGTGAAGTAAGTGTAAGTGACAACAGTGCGAACACTTACTATTTTAAGTTGAAACAAAAAAATTTTGTTTACAGTGTACATGTACTTACTATAGGGTTAGGGTTTGGTTTAGTTGCATGTAATTATGCATTATTTATAGTTATTACAAAAGTAACTGCATGTAACATACAATATGTAACAATGACACTGTAAAATAAAGTGTTACCAAAATGTTTATTATTAAAATGTACTTATTGTCTTTATGTTGTATTTTTTTCTGCTATTAAGGTGAGATACGGGATAGGTTAGAGACAGGTTTGGTAGTATGGTTAATTTAAAGTTTGGGTTAAGTGGTAAGGGAAGGGTCAATAGTGTAATCATAGATATAATTACAGAAATTAATTACATGCATGCATTTCTTTTTAAATAGAAGTACTATGTAAAACATATAAGTACACAAATAAGTGTGTTGTTTATTAATAAAAAAAATTGTGAATAGTAGTTAAAAACACAATATAAAGTGAGACCAAAAATATGTTAAGGTATCTTAAAAAAATAAAAAACTATAACTTCTCTTTTTGACAAATTAAATATATTATTATTTAATTTTAATTTATGTTGACCCTACAGGAAAACATAACTATTACTTTTGAACATTCATGATGGCTAAGTGCTAATGTCTTATCGAGCAACTTTGAGGAGACTGCAATTCTAACGACGACTGTCTTGTCAAAAAATACATAAATATAAATCTCAAGATCCCGAAGACACAATTAAACAGTTTAAATATCAAATTAATAAACTACAATCTGCCATATTTTAATTGTAATACAACTGGGGTCAATAAACAGAATCAGATTGTCAACCCTAGGCTTGTGTTCTGTGCTTTGGGCAAAGAGCTAGAAGTTGCTAGTGACTATGTCAGCATTACAGAGGTATTAGTGAACCTATACATTCCTGCTTTTCAAGAGTGTCTATCAGTATGGAAGAAGTTTGCAAAGTCAAGTCGTTCTCAATGAAACATCATCGTTTGACGATGAGCGGAAACCCGAAAAAGGCCAGTGAAAGTACTCCTGCATTAAAGCTGTGCAAATATGTGAAAATCTCTAAATGATAAACCGGTTTGGTTGTTTATATTTCTGGTTATTTAAACCTACATAGTGAATCATACCGAAAACACTGTATAACAGTGTAAACAACCATGTAAACCATTGTAAAACTAGAGGAAGCTATGGCTTAGCCTTAAGCTCATTTACCTGTATTGTTTAAGATCAAACACACTATGTGAATATATTTCCCCCCATCATAACCCTGCTGTTTTAAGCGTCCGTTCCAGTTTAGCAGAGTACCGTCACTATCATTGTTACGTAATAGCGAACGTCGTGAGGACATTTCCAGCTGTAATGATTCTACGCTAAACAGTCGAAGCCCCATTTCAATATTTTTGTCTAACTGCAAGATATACTAAATCTGAAGCCATCTCTTTACAGTATTTACAAATGTAAAACATCTCTCTAAAATATTCATATCTATATTTTTGCAATTACTAAGGTGTTACTGCATAACAAGATGCAAAACATCTAAAGATTGCCTGTTCCTTTAACAGTTTTACTAAAAATATGAAGTTCGTTTTTTTAACAAACTGTGACACAATCTGAGGATCCAGCATTGCCTGCTCGGCAGACACACATACATACGAACACGTGCGCAAGCACATACACACACTCACCCCCATCCCACTGGAAAAAGGAAGTCTGTGAAGAGATCAGCCATTATGTGTATTAAGTTTAGCTTTTTTTTCCTTTGAATATTAGAAAAAAAAAGTATATTCAAAGCTACAAATAACAGACTACGCTTTTCATCTCATGCATCATATAAAATATTAGTTTCTCTTTCCTTTTGTCCATATATTTACACATTATTTTACAGGTGAACTGTACAATAAAAGTGGAATCCACACGACATTCTTAAAAATATTTTCTGACCCATAATTACTTCGACAAGTAAAATGAGGAGGAAAGAGGGAGAGAAAGAGAGAGGTGCTGTTTGTCCTGCGGGACTTCTTCCAAGTCTCGAAGCACTCGTTCTGCATAAATTAAACCTGTGAAAGAGGGATGACGGCACACACTGGGCATACGAGACGAAGGGTGTGTGATGGTGACAGCTTGGGGAAAACCAGCCGCCGCTGCTCCCTTTGCCAGCCAGCAGATAAGTTCAGCGTTCGTGGTCGGACCACTCCCACAATTCAGTGCAAGCAGCCGTTGATCAACTACCTATAGGTGGAATAGGGCATGGGGTGAAAAAACGACACCCAATTAGGTCTGGCCCTTCACCTATAAGCAGTGGAAGGGTATCTGAGAGGGTACAGTAAAAATACTGTTGTTATTTTTTTAGCTTGAAACACCCCCCTCAGAAGCCCCCCAGCATGCAAGACTGCTCAGGGGAGGTTTGGTTGTGTCCCTGACGTGCGGTCAGCTACTGAGGTGGCGCATTGGAGCGGTCCGTCATGCTGTCTGAGCGATGAGCTGCCAGTTGCTGCTGCTGCTGTTGCTGTTGTTGTTGCAGCTGTTGCTGCTGTTGCTGCTGCAGCTGCTGCTGCTGTTGTTGATGATGTTGTTGCAGCTGCTGCTGTTGTTGTTGATGTTGCTGCTGCAGCTGTTGCTGCTGCTGTTGCAGTTGCTGCTGTTGTTGTGTTGCAGCTGCAAAGGTGCCTTGCTGTTGCAGAGGAAACGCTGCCTGAAGGATCAGCTGGGTAGACTGGTTGCCATGCAAAAGCCGAGGGGCCTGCAGGAGGAAATGCGCAACATAAATATACATGTGGCAGCGATATTCAAATCCTGCTGATAACACGATAAGACAAAAAAACAACAAGTAAAAACTAGTGACTTGAGGCATTACAAATTTAGAATGTACCACAAAAATATATTTTGAATCAAAAAAGTGCTCAAAATAACAGCTGAATATATAAGCAAAATGTGTTTATCTTAAAGGGCACCTATTATGCAAAATTCACTTTTACATTGTGTTTGAACTTTGAACATAAATGTGTGTTGGCAGTGTGTGTACACAACCACCCTATAATGATAAAAATCCACCCAGTGCTTTTTTTTAAATCTCCATAAATCATAAGCACTGTCTCAGAACAACCCGTTCTCAGATTCGGGGCAATGTGACGTACTTTTGCACAAGCCCCTCCCACGACTGTTGACGGACACTGCAGTTTTAAAGGGTTAGTTCACCCAAAAATGAAAATTCTGTCAGTAATTACTCACCCTCATGTTGTTCCAACCCCGTAAGACTTTCGTTCATCTTCGGAACACAAATTAAGATATTTTTGAAGAAATCTGAGAGCTGGATCACTCCTCCATAGGCTTCTTAAGGGATCTAAACTGAACGGCCCAAAAGTTATGAAAGACGTCGTTAAAATAGTCCGAGTGACTACAGTGGCTCAATCTTAAGTTTATCAAGCGACGAGAATCCTTTTTGTGCGCAAAAAACAAACAAAAAGAACGACTTTATTCAACTACTCTGTAAGGCCGTGATATTTCACGTAGTGAAACTACGCAAAGCTTTTAGGTTGTACGTTACGCATCACACACATGACCAGCGTCGGCCAATAGTGAGCCTACGTGTGACGTGCAACCTAGAAGCTTTGCGTAGTTTCACTACGTGAAATATCACGGCCTTACAGAGTAGTTGAATAAAGTAGTTCTTTTTGTTTGTTTTTTGCGCACAAAAAGGATTCTCGTCGCTTGATAAACTTAAGATTGAGCCACTGTAGTCACTCGGACTATTTTAACGACGTCTTTCATAACTTTTGGGCCGGCCAGTTTCGATCCCTTAAGAAGCCTATGGAGGAGTGATCCAGCTCTCAGATTTCTTCAAAAATATCTTAATTTGTGTTCCGAAGATGAACGAAAGTCTTACGGGGTTGGAACAACATGAGGGTGAGTAATTACTGACAGAATTTTCATTTTTGGGTGAACTAACCCTTTAATGTAGACCCGCCCTGAGTGAGTTAAACACAGTCCACCATCGTTTGGACGCCGGAGCAGCTGGAGACAAGAATGTCTTCTAAGCGATTGATGCGTTTTGTTATAAGATAAGAATGAACATAGCAGTCGTCATTTAATCTCGTTGTTACTCGAGGATGGATCTGTACCAACTGTTTGTGGTCCAGCTTATAGTCTCCTATACTTATTTGAGGAAGACTTAATGTACATCTTGTGAAAGGGGGCATAATAGATGCCCTTTAAGGAATAGCTCTCTCAAAAATGTTCATCTCTTTTTAAAATAATATTTTAAACATTTTTGGAATAAATAGGCAGACTGACTTATTCTTTCATTCAATTTTTAAGCTTCAAATCAAGATACAAAAGCACTATAAAAGTAGTCTGCTGAACTTGTTTGCTGTCTTCTAGAGCCATATAAGCCATTTATGTGTGGAACAGACAGAGATTTAGGTCATTATTCACAAAAAAATCTTGTCAGCCACTCTAGCTCTCTATTTTCATGAAAGTCGATATAAAACAAAATTGTGCCCGAGTGTTCTTCACTAGTGATATACATACACGTGACGGCTATTGAACGTGAAAAAAGAAAATTAGGACACACGGGACTTGATTTTGTCCATTTGGAATAGATCCGTTTGTCCATCTGGAATTGATCCTTGAAATGATCCAGAAACTAAATGGTGATCAGAGAAGAGATGAAATAGCGAGGGGGACATAATTTTTTTTTTTTAAACTTTCCCTGTCATTGATAGAATTTCCTATCATTAATGACTCAACGATTTCCTGCCATTGATAGTTTTTCCCATCATTTATGACACAAAGCTTCCCTGCCACAGACAGAATTTTCCAGCAATCCATGTTTTCACTGTTATAAGGTAAGGGGTGCTATTACGCATCTACCTAACATTACTAAATAAAATATATCGAACCCACAAAGAGGTGTGAAGCTTTGGCCGTGTTGATGGACGTAATCTACTCGATATGTTTTAATCATTGTTCTGAATCCGATCCAGACATAGTCTTTGACAAAAACGTTATTTTCTCAGCTTTTTCTTCAAAGTGTTGCTTTTTTTTATGAAACGTACCCACATTCAAGTGTTGATAAAAAAAGATTGTATGAAGCTTGAATAAAATGTTTTTTGCTTTAAAATCAGAGTCTCTGTGCTTTCTTTTGATATATTGTATGTTCAGATATTCATACAACAAAAAATGATGAGGGCCATGAAATTTGTGAAAATGATCAATAATGCTGGAGCTGGCTGGCAACTTTTTAAAGAGTTAATTAAAGATTACAGGGGCACATTATTATTATTTTTTTTAAAGAATGATGTGCTCTGACAAATCATTCATCATAAACACGGCAACATTCGATAGAAAAAAATAAGGAGAATGAATTTTGATTACATGGTGATTGGTGACTAATAAAAAAGGTAGCATTGTCTGATTTGTGAAAGAATCTTTCAGACCGCTTTTGTGAACCATATTATTAGGTTCCTTTAAAAGATCTGACTCCAAAGAATGATTCTTTCACAAATCAGACATCACTACTACTCTCTTGAATGAATAGGAATGTGTCATGTGATCCACTTTTGATTGTTTTTACAATGCTTTTGCATCCAAGTGGATCCAACACATTCTTCCAAATTTCACTTTTTGTGAAGTGAGGGTGAGTAAATGATGACAGTAAATGATTTACATTTATGGCTGAACTATATCAGTAAGCTGTATTCAGTAAACAGTCAGTTTAATCAGTAAGCTGACCAAACATTTGCTACAGTGAAGGAGTCATCGATGCTAACAGGTTCTCAGTTCTCTGCGTGGTACCTGTAGGAATTGTGTTTGCTGCTGGGCGAGCTGAGCCTGGACCTGTCCTTGCTGTTGGGCTGTTCCTGTAGCTGTCTGTGACTGCGTCTGAGCCTGCTGCTCCGGCGTCTGTGCAGGCGGCTGCTGGGTGATGCTGATTGTTTGAGGCTGGCCCTGCTGCGGGGCAAAGGCAGTCACCACCTGCCCCATGAACATGGTGGTAGGAACCATAACTGCACCACATGCCATTGGGCCGGTTACTAGCTTAGTGAGGAGCTGTTGGGCAGCAGGGAACCTGTGTGAGGCAGGAAAACAGGATTTTAGTTATAAGTTTCTTTTCAAATGTTGGGACCGGTTTTACTGTGACAGGGGTCCCCAAGAATGTTTTATTATTCATCAGAAATTACCCAGTAGGTTTCCATAGCCTCCCAAGGAGAAATATATATACACATTTTTCAATTGTAGTCTTTTAAAAAGGCATCTGAAAGAATAAACTACTGTTGTCAAAAATATTGATTTTTGGATATACTGAAATCTCTGAAACGCTTCCAATACGAATTTCTGCAGAATAGGTACACGATACCAGCTGTGCTTTCTCACTCTCTCATGATCTCTCCAACAGCTAGTTGACACACAAACCCGCCTCCACTCAAACACTCGTTTCATTAGCTCCAGATGAATATTGCTGGTGTTACAGGGCCTGAATTTGTGTATTGTGCATCATTTTTAGCCTGACTTCGTCATACTCATATTCTAGTCAGAATGCGAGTCTGATTCTGCTCCATAGGGCTTTGATTATGAGGCGTGTCTTAACCGAACCAGAAAAAAAAAAAAACTCTGCACTCAATTGGATAGACCTACAACCAATGAGAGCAACGCAGTAGCCTAAGTGTTTTTTTTATGAGCTACGCAAATTGTCAACAGACCTCAACTGCATGCACGCTGGAAGTAATAAAATAATGAGTGTTGCTTCTTTTACTTGGTCCTCTATGAGTGCGACCAAAGGAGAAACCACAACGACCACAGGGTTTTCATTGCGTCCCATCTTCTTAGTTACCATCGGAGCCAGCTGATAAATTAAACTTTTGCCGAATCCCGTAGGAAGGACGGCAAACACATCTTTCCCTTCGACAAATGCCTTGATTGCAGTTCTCTGTTCGTCTTTTAAAATGAATGAATGTTGATTTCTTTTACAACAGACGCGATAGCGGAATCTATACATCTCAATTCTCCAGCTACTGTCATCTCTGAGGGAAACCAGTTCAACCCAAGAGCTCTTTGATAACGTGATGATTACGTAACTGCAGATCATCTGTCCATCATCGTATAAAGCCCGCCCTGGCAATTTGATTGGCCCGACTAATTCTGAACCGATCATAATTACTCCTCAATGGAACTTCCCGACCAAAAAATGTTGTGGGCGGAGTTCGGGCTGGCATCCAGGCTACATAATTTTACTCATTCCCACAGATTCTGTGCTCACACCCAAAGTGCACGGACATAAAGTTTCCTATAAGTACTAAATTGAGTTATTTTTCACTGCTTATTGACCTTAAACAGTCAAATACACACAAAATAATGTCAAAATGCTGGTTGGCGAGTATTCATGTAAACAGCCAGTTATGTTTTAAAGGGCATATTGCAGGTTAGAGGACCCAACGAGTCAATATATAGAAAAATAATGTAGGAACTAGATTTTCTTTAAAATATTCTTATAAATACGCTACATAAGCTTCTGGAGTCGTTTTTGTGAGAAAATTTTACTTCCGCGTCTGAAAATGGGTGTGGTGGGCGTGACGTAACGGGCGGGAGAGCGGTCGATTCAAACAACAGGAAAACAATGGATCCAAGTGACATTTCGGACGCTGAGGAAATACTTACTGGTATGACGGACTACAGCCATACAATTATGAGCCTGCTATGCTGCCAAGAGAGTAGAGACAGGCCAGGACTAATGTTAGACAGAACGGTCAGACTCAGAGACACATTGAGTTGTGGTGTGAGGAGAACCAGTGGAGAACAGGACAGATGTCTTGGTGAGAGACGTGCTTATAGATACACGTTCGCTAACGATATACACTGTGCTCACAATATTGTACAGATTATTACCATCGTATATCAGGCCAGCAGACATTAGTATGTTTAGGGTAGATGTACTATTAAATGTATAAAAACTATACTTGAGTATATTTCTATTGTAAGTTACTAAAAAAACATACTCAAGTACATTTTTAAAACATATTTTTCATCTGGGTTATAACATAAACAGAAAATTAAAGATTTCAATATATTTAATCAACCTAGTAATTTTGTTTTTCAATTACAAGTTGCCTCTATTTAGGGCATGACTACCTATATCACACTATTTGATGCCATTGGTACAGTATACGACGATCAATATTCTTGCTTCGGCATCCCATGTTAAACTCCATCATATCGCCGGGATGATAATCCTCCGATCTGAAGTGAACGCTACACACGATCTGAAGTGAAAGCTACACACGACCGCGTTTCTCGAAGCCGATGCGGAAGAGAAATCCCGTCTCTTCACCTGCACAAACCGCACCAGGCACGAAAGATATACAGCACCGTCCTTTTTCTTGTTATGGAAACCTGTGGACTCGATGTCCTGACAGGCCGGAGTTTTTGCAACCTCCACAAACACAATAATTTACCATGACGATGATAGATTGAAATACAAAAACTACCGAAAACACACTGACTCACGGCCGCTCTCACTGAATGCCAGCCTGCTCTGCACTGAGCCGAGGCTGAGGCTCCCTAGCGTGACGTAAAATGACGCGATGTTGAAAAAAAAGCCGTTTTTACGAGCAGTCCAAGAAACGCTCACTTTATCTACTAAATTAGTGCCCTTATGTCGTTTTAAAACATTTTAAATCCTGCATTACCTTTTCATATGGTATTTTCATACAAGGTTATATATTAATTTAGATTTTTTTTTTTACCTGCAATATGCTCTTTAAGAACAGAGTTGAGAAAGAAAATGCATGTGTAAAAGTTTAATGGATCCGTGTGTCAGGTCTTAAAGTGACAGCAGCCTAATATACCTGTTACCAAATTATGAGATAATATTACAAATATCTATATGGCAGTTTTTCTCCATGGTATCGGTCAAAATTGTGTCCAGTCAGGAAAAAAGTTAAATGTTAAAAGTTAATGTCATATATGTATATATACTCATTTAAGTTAGTCTAGAATTCTAATGTGCAAATTTAACCGTATATGTGTGCTTTATGTTTATGATGAGTCAAAGTGTCAGTGTGTGTTTGTAATAGTGCTACATGTACCGTATCTGCCGGTCTTGTGAGAAGGTGGCGACCGCGGCTCCGCTCGGGCTGCTGTTCTGGGCCAGGCTTGTGGCGATCTGCACAACATTGGCCTGCGCCGGCTGAGAGATCATCATGGTATTATACAAAGATGCCGGCAGTGCTCCCTGAGGAGACTGCAACATGTGAGACGACCTCTGAGACTGCTAAGAAACAGACAAGAGATAGAAAGACTTGATATTAGATTATAGTAGGATGATTACACACCATCTAATACTTTATTATACATTTACTTTCGCATTTGATAGAGGGATGTTTTATCTGAACATACCACAGACTTTGTTTACAGATCAGTCTTTGATATTTTTGGATTTAAAATGTTAAAAATTAATCAAAAATGTTCACTTCTCTGAACATGGTAATGCAGCAGTGTTATTATAGTATTATTTATAAACTAATATAGTTATTAATTATTATAGTTAATTAGCTTTTAGTTTTATGTTTTATATTTTCATTTTAATTATAGTTTAATTTTTAATAAATTTGTTATGTGCTTTTGTTTTTTATTTTTATTTATTTACTATTTAGGCTTAATTTAGTTTTAGTTTTTATTTATTTAGGGTAACTTTTTTCAGTTATTTGCCAAGACAACATTTCTAATACACATATATTATTTATATATTTTATCACAGTTTTATTTCAATGAACAGAAAATAAAAGATTTGTTTTAGTTTTAGTTAATGATAATAACCTTGTAAAGCAGCACTGAAATTAGTTTTTCAGTCATTAAGTACTGTGATGGACTTCTCCATTGAAGCTTCATATGTGCATTTAAATATGCTGAACATAGAATTTAATATAAATATTAAGATAGAAACATAATATGACTTGCGTTACCTAAAGGATTTCAATTATGGTAAAGTTAAGACCAAAACTTTGATGAAAAACATTGTTTTGATGAGTGCATGTGCATGATCTTAAAATTTTACGAGTAAATAAGAATGTCCAGTACAATTTTTTTCTATGAAAAATGGTCAGAGCTTGCAGTACTAGTCTTCTCTATCACCTGAGTTAGGGTGGAGCTCTGATCTCTGAGAAGGTTCTGTTGCTGTGGCAGAGCCTGCTGAGGATGCTGTGTGACAGTGTGTTGCGTCCCCGTGTGTGTGGATTGGAGGCCGCTTTGTAGGCTCCCCGCCGGCACCACGGCCCCCTGCATGGACAGAGCGCCCCCTGGCTGCACGGACGATCCCTGCGTCAGCTGTACTGAGCCGAGGTTGAGACTGCCGCCTCCTGGCTGCAGGAACATCTACATACCCAAACACAAGGGTGTCAATTTGAGGCAGAGAGTGCACATTTAAACAAAAGCTAGGGGACGCTCTCACCTGTAAGCCCTGCCCTTGAACCCTTTGCAGCTCGCCCTGGATTTGCCGCAGTTCTTCTTGTTGTCTGTGGATGTTGGCCTCAATCATGCGTGTTCGCTGTTCAAGCTGCTCCTTAAGATGCTGCATTGCATCCATTTGTGTGGAAAACTGGATAACTGGCTACAAAACAATAAACAGCACCAGGTATAAAATAATAATAATTTTAATAGGCGTTAAGAGTTAACACTACCAGCACAATACAGGTCTTCAGAACTTATTCAATAGCAAATATCTATATTATATTTTATTCAGTATATATATATATATATAAACCTTGTGTAATAAACCTTATTTTACTTATCATGTGATATTAATACTTTTAAAATTATATGTTTTTATAATGTTTTAAAAAGAAGTATCATATGCTCATCAAGGCTGTTTATTTGATCAAAAATACAGAAAAAAAAGTAATATTGTGAAATATGATTACGATTTACAATAACTCTTTTCTGAATTTGTGGAAACAGTGATGCGTATTTTTTCAAGATTCTTTGAATAGAAATAGAAAGAGAAAAAGAAAGTTCAAAAGAACAGCATTTATATGAAGCAGAAATCTTTTGTAGGATTATAAATGTCTTTACTGTCGCATATGATTAATTGAATGCATCCTTGCTGAATACAAATATTTATTTAAAAATTTACACTTGGTAAATGTAAATTGTAGATGATTTATGGTGATTACCACTAGTGTTGGGTATCGTTTGAATTTTAGCGTTGCAATTCCATTCTGATTCTGCTTATCAATTCTGATTCTGCTTTTCAATTCTGATTCGATTTAGATATAGACATTTAGATATCAAATAAAATATTTATTCTATGTCTTTTTGCAAAACATTCTGTTGCAGCTGAATACCATGAACAAAACAAATCAGCTGAAAGAACAAGTAATAAACTAGACTAACTAATAAAGTAACTGATATAAATTTTAAACAGTATTAAAGACAAGTATACAGTCAGTAATACAATAAAAATAAATGAGCAAATTAGCAATAGCACAAATAAAAACAACTGAGGGCTCTAGTGACACCAGGAACTGAAAGACTCATATCAGTCGAACACTGATTTGCAAGAGTGATACCAGTAAATGCAGTAATATGGATGTTGAATTACCTGCACAGTGGGCTGAAGTGGTTGAGGCTGCTGAGGCTGAGACACAATAGATGTTGCCATTGTCTGTCCTGTGTTCTGAGAACTCATCGACTGAAGAGGGACGACACACAAGGTCAAAACTCCCACATATATAACAGGTGACAATTTCATTTTATGTTCAAATTTTCTTTTTACTTTTTAATCCTAAATTTTTGTTTATTTCCATGTTAAATTGGGTTTTGTGTGTCGGCTCCACTGTATTTCTGATGATGATGACATGTACCAACCTGACTGCTAATGGAGGACCTCCGCTGTGATGTCATCTCAATGGCAGACACTGATTGGCGGGGTGGTGTGCTATGGTCTGTCTGCAGCTTTGTCTGTGTGGCTACAGACACACAAACATACATGGGCCAGTCACACTACTGAAATATGTGTAAACATCTTAACATGCAGTGGCTGTGTTGCTTACCAACACTGTCTCTCTTTGGTATGGAATACGTACATGTGGGGTCCGAGACGGCGGTGTGTGAGGAGGACTTGCGGGAACTCCGTGATGAGGCAGAGGGTGTGCGGCTGCGATCGAATCGCTCTAGTGCCTCCTTCAGGCTGGAGGTGTTTAATTGGGACTCAGAGCCGGAGTCTTGAGACTGAGCAGAGTGAAACGGAGCGAGGTTAAAGGATAGTTCTGGGTTCAACACAAGTTAAGATCTATCAACAACATTTTGTGCAATAATGTTGCTTACCACAGAAAATAATTATGGGGAAAAACATCCCTTAAAAATAAAAAGGGTAATTGAAATTTGTATTAATATAAGAAATATATATATACACACACAGACATACACATATATACATGTATATGAATATTATATATAATGTGTGTGTGTGTGTGTGTAAATAAATGTAATGCTATTTATTTCCCTGTTAAAATTGAATAGATAATAAATAAAATATGTAAATATGAATAAATGTATTCAATTTGTTAATAAATATGTATTAAAATGTTAAATATAATAATACATTAATATATCAATATATCAAATTAATGTTTCACTGACAAGTCTTAAGCCTAGTCCAGACTACAATGCTTGTTTGAGCTGTTTTAACTGAAAGGAACTTGCATTAGCATATCTTAAAAGATGTCAGTGCCATTGTTTTGTCTCTAGATGCACATCAGTAATGTTTTTTTTCTAAGGCACATTCATAAAAGCCTCATAAAAGCACATTCATAAGGCCTAATCCTGGCATAATCTAAGCCCTGTCTGTGAAACCAGGCCCAAAAATGTAAATTTGTATAATATATTTACTTATTAATATTATTTTTCATATTTGCCTGTTATAGTTTGTGGATGAATGGGAATTCAGAATTGAATCAATAATTAATAAAACAGGAACAAAATAAATGTCTTAAATGTATACAAGTAAATATTAAATATCAATTAAAATGAAATAAAAATTACATAATAATAATAATGTTACATTTATATAGTGCTTTTCTGGGTACTCAAAGCACTTTACATATGGTAGGGGGGAATGCTGGGATTTTTTTTATGACCACAGAGATTCGGGACCTCGGTTTAACATCTCATTCGAAGGATGGTGCTTTTTGACAGTATAGTGTCCCCGTCACTATACTGGGGCGTTAGGACCATAGACTGTAAAAAAATATGGACGTAGTGTCTGTGACGTCACCCGTATGTTTCTGAAGAGCATTTTTTAAGCCCAAAGTGGGCGGAGCCGGCCGTCATAATCTTGTTAGCGAGTCACCGCGCAACACTCCCGGATAAACGAAAATGGGTAAAAAGGCGTGATTAGCTGAGGTGAGGTGACGTGACGGCTAACAGACAGCAGACAAACGGCTAGTAGTAACAGCAGTGGCCACACCCTTAATTACGCAGAACTTTAAGGCTTAATACAATTTAAACGGATGAGTTATAAACAAATTCACCCCCCTCACAGTTGTCATAAAGGGCAAAATTAGCTTAATAGACCAAAACCACTTTTTGCACCAGGCTGTAAACATTTTTTTCTGCTGTAAAGTTGGTCAATTTAACATGGCGGGGTATATGGGATTGACTCTCTTTTGCAGCCTGTCTCTAGCGGCCAGTCGATGAATTGCGGTTAAAGTCACTTCCGTGTTGGTTTCAAGAGAAAGACAGGAAGGTTGCCGCTTGGTCAGGACCCACACAGACCACAGGGTGAGCACCCCATACTGGCCTCACAACTGAACTGAACTGAATTTTAAACTGAACTGAAAGTGTCTCACCTTGTCTGCTGAGATCTCAGGAGGCGATTCCTCAATGCCCAACTCCCTGCGCTGTTCAGCCCTCACTTCAGCATAACTAAGACAAAAAAATAAATAAAACTAAGAAATTCTCTATAAAGAGTAGCACTATGTTCTGCTTTACGCTTTATAGTGTTGTGCCTGGTTAGGATTCAGTGTAAAACCAAAAAAATGACAGTTGTTCCATTCTTGTTAGTAGTTATCCAATCAAACTTTGCATGTTCTGAAAGTCTCACCTGACCACAGTGTGTGTGCAGACGATGAACTCAGGCCGCGAGTTCCACTGGTGGTAGGTGATATAGTAGTGAGTCTGAAGCCAGATCCACTGCTGACCTTTAGTCAGAAAACGGTAATAGCACGACTTGCCCTTACCATACTGCATCACTACAGAGAGAGAGAGCAAGAGAGTCAAAACTAAAGACAATGTCATTCATACATAATTTTCAAACTTTAGAAGTAGGGAGAGACAGGTACACACAAATACAAACAGTAATTCAACTCACAGTGTTCATGGCACTTGGCCAGAGTCTCCAGGTCATCCACGTGATAGTAGTCGTACCCTGAAGTACCCAGAACCTCAAAGGGTAGGTAACCTATGATGGGAGGAGCCCTGCAAAACATAACACAAACAAATTCACATCATCCGCATGCAAAAGACGTTCATTGACTTGTCAGTCATGAAAAAGATTTCAAATAGTCAAGAAACTCCATATAAAAGACATAATTCTATAACCTAACTGTTTGTTAAATAATATGAAACTGTGTGACTCCTTTGTGTTTTGCCCATTTCAAAAACACAGAAAAATCCGTCAAAATTATTTGAATTTGTCAAGTGCCTGAAAAAACCCTTGTGCGCTTCATCCGGTATACCACTTCTATGACATGTAATTATTTACTTACATTTTTTCCAGGTTAAACATTAGTGCAAAGTCTAACAAGACTAAAAAAATAAGTTTAATTAATACTCTTGTTAACGAATACCCTGGAACCATTTATATCTTTTCATTGGTGATATCAATGTTAAAAACATGTTTTAAAATTATTATTGTAAAATTATTTTAGAGGTCAAATCTCAGACTTTGACAAGCTGCACATGGTGATTTTCCCAAATAATAAAAGTTAATCAAGTTATTAATTTACATTTCAATGTATTTGTGTTCATATTCACTCACCTAAAATATTTTTAGGAACACCATACTAATACTGTTTTTGACCCCCTTTCGCCTTCAGAACTGCCTTAATTCTACGTGGCATTGATAAAAAAAAAATGCTGAAAGCATTCTTTACAAATGTTGGCCCATATTGATTGGATAGCATCTTGCCGTTGATGGAGATTTGTGGGATGCACATCCAGGGCACGAAGCTCCCGTTCCACCACATCCCAAAGATGCTCTATTGGGTTGAGATCTGGTGACTGTGGGCGCCATTTTAGTACAGTGAACTCATTGTCATGTTCAAGAAACCAATTTGAAATGATTCGAGCTTTGTGACATGGTGCATTATCCTGCTGGAAGTAGCCATCAGAGGATGGGTACATGGTGGCCATAAAGGGATGGACATGGTCAGAAACAATGCTCAGGTAGGCCGTGGCATTTAAACGATGCCCAATTGGCACTAAGGGGCCTAAAGTGTGCCAAGAAAACATCCCCCACACCATTACACCACCACCACCAGCCTGCACAGTGGTAACAAGGCATGATGGATCCATGTTCTCATTCTGTTTACGCCAAATTCTGACTCTACCATCTGAATGTCTCAACAGAAATCGAGACTCATCAGACCAGGCAACATTTTTCCAGTCTTCAACTGTCCAATTTTGGTGAGCTCTTGCAAATTGTAGCCTCTTTTTCCTATTTGTAGTGGAGATGAGTGGTACCCGGTGGGGTCTTCTGCTGTTGTAGCCCATCCGCCTCAAGGTTGTGCGTGTTGTGGCTTCACAAATGCTTTGCTGCATACCTCGGTTGTAACGAGTGGTTATTTCAGTCAAAGTTGCTCTTCTATCAGCTTGAATCAGTCGGCCCATTCTCCTCTGACCTCTGGCATCAACAAGGCATTTTCACCCACAGGACTGCCGCATACTGGATGTTTTTCCCTTTTCACACCATTCTTTGTAAACCCTAGAAATGGTTGTGCGTGAAAATCCCAGTAACTGAGCAGATTGTGAAATACTCAGACCGGCCCGTCTGGCACCAACAACCATGCCACGCTCAAAATTGCTCCTTCCCATTCTGACATTCAGGCCCTGTCCACACGGACACGGGTATTTTTATAACCGTGACTTTTTTTACGCGGTTCGGCCGTTCGTCCACACGAAAACGCACTGAAACCGAACATTTTTGAAAACCCCTGCCAGGGTGAGGATTTTCAGAAACGCCGGTTACAGTGTTGTCGTGTAGACAGTGAAACCGGGGTTTTTGCCTTGCGACGTCAGAGTTTGCGCCGTTACCCGCTGTGTTTGACGTCAGATTTGCGCTTCTGATTGGCCAACGTGGCTTTACGGTTAATGTTTATATCGCCGCCTGCTGGCATGGCATGCTCTTGACCGCGCTTGATAGCGTGTTTTTACGTTTTCATGTAGACGGAGACCGAGCATGTGTGGACGGGATTTTTTGTTAAAAACGCTGTAGGAAAAACTCCGGTTATAAAAATACCCGTGTCCGTGTGGACAAGGCCTCAGTTTGGAGTTCAGGAGATTGTCTTGACCAGGACCTCACCCCTAAATGCATTGAAGCAACTGCCATGTGATTGGTTGATTAGATAATTGTATTAATGAGAAATTGAACAGGTGTTCCAAATAATCCTTTAGGTGAGTGTAGTTGTGAAAGATTAACATTGAAATGTAATGATTTTCATAAGTTTTAAATATTATAATTTATTGATTTTAATCTGATTACTCATCTTATATTCACCGGTATGTGTTTTGAGATTATACTGACACCACATCTTTAAAACAAAAACAAAATAAAAAACATTACCAGTGTCTTCTTTTATGAAATAAAATAAAACAATAAAAAAGCAAAAATGCCAAGTTGTACTTTTTGACTAGAAATGTCAAGATGTTTTATAGGAGAAAACTAAACTGAACTGAAATCAAACCTGGGAACAGATTGTCAGGCATTCCTTGAGTCACATGTTTTAGTATAAAATGTTTTAGGATAAAAAGATCTGAAGCGCCACTAGCTTCTGCTGAACAACTGATAATGTGGAAAATCGTATTAAATCGCTTTAATATCTAGCATCTGTGCCGATTAAACTGAATCCTTGATTTGAACTATATATAGAGTAGCAGCAGCACCAGCAGCTATTTTTCCAAAACGACTTGTCTAAATTCAGTATAAACCTTTCCAAGCATAACAGTATAAGATTTTATAGAGAAAATTATGTTCATGCTATTCCAGATGTACAAGCGCTTGAGCCCGTGGGATGAATGTGAGCTATTGATAATTCCGAGATATACTGTCTGCTAACAAAATGTAAGCATGTACAATAAACACATGCTCAAAAACTGAGAAAAATCTTAAAAGGAAGCATCAAGGTCTGGGTATACTTGGTTTTCCGCGTTCCACTCCATCTCCAGTAAACTCCTTTGGCCATGAGCACGGAAAGACATGTTCGGCGCGTGCGCACTATCTAGTGGACTTTGTTGTCTAGTGGACGCTGTTGTATGCGCACCGTCTGCATAGACACAAAAATTAGGCTGCACGTGGACAGTGATTTATTTATAACTTAATATTTTGTACTCACAATTTGTATTATTTAGAGCTTGGTATTACTAGAAAAATGTATATTCATTATAAAAATGCCCATGGAGTTTTATGATTTTATTAATTTATGTGACATTTACATTAATAAAATAAAAATTAAATTAAATTAGGCTACCTAAAATGGGCTACCTCTTTTTTGAAGGTTTTCCAAAATAGTGTGAATCCTGGTTCTTCAAAGGAAACAAACAGTTGTTGCGAGGGTGAATTAAAAATATCTTATACCTTAGTCTCTCTGAATACTCTATTCTGATTGGCTGGAAGGTGTACAATGAAACCGTTTAATACACAGGTAGTTCCAAGTCAGTTTTATCACCGTTCTATTACATTAATATGCTGTTTTCGTTGAAGCACACACACGCAAACGTCACTCGGAGATCATGCTGCGCCTCACACACACATACATTCAGGAGCACAGAAACTGCCCTGCGACTTTTATTAATAAGATAGCTTTGCTACCGAATTGCTACATTATATTTCTCAGCAATGAGGGGGTAACATTGCTGGTTTTGAAGTAATTAAACTCACAGCTTCGTTGTTAATAGAGGGAGACTCTGAAGAGATGAAGGTCTCTTTCTCTCTCTCTCTCTCTCTCTCTCTCTCTCTCTCTCTCTCTCTCTCTCTCTCTCTCTCTCTCTCTCTCTCTCTCTCTCTCTCTCTCTCTCTCTCTCTCTGTAATTTATTCAAAGAAATTCTATAATTCATTCATTCAAATAAATGTAATCGTGCACACTTCTTTACTTTAGTCTTATTCAAAGCAGGCAGATCTTACTAGATCTAAAGAGCAGTAACTGACTAACCATAATTTTTACCCTTCCAGTCATCTATTGCGCTGCAAATATTAATAACATCTTTAAGTTGTCATTGCTGGCAAATGACCATGGTATAAGCAGGATAATCCATGGCTCGGTGCTTCGAGTCGGGTGGTTCTTTGCCTAAACGTAGTGCATTAAAATCGGTTAAAGCCGTAGATTATGCCATACTTGATTGGCCATATTTTAATGTTTGGTTTGTCTTGTTTTAAATCATTTTAAAGGATTAGTTCACCTCAAAATGAAAATTTCCTGATAATTTACTCACCCAAATGCCATCCAAGATGTTCATGTCTTTCTTTCTTCAGTGGAAAAGAAATTAAGTTTTTTGAGGAAAACATTTCAGGATTTTTCTCCACACAATGGACTTCAAGCGCAACCAACATGTTGAAGTCCAAATCAATGCAGTTTCAAAGGGCTTTGAAGTGCTTCAAACGGCTCTGCACGATCCCAGCTGAGGAATAGGGTCTTATCTAGCGAAACGATCGGTCATTTTCTAAAAAAAATAAACATTTATATACTTTTTAACCACATTTGTTCGTCTTGTGCTGGTCTGCGACGCGCCAGGGATTACGTAATCACATTGGAAACGTCACGCATCACGTCATCTAAGTTATTTGTTTGTGTACTCCGGTTCAAAAAGGCAGGGGAAGGGCGAAAAATTCCATCTCATTTTCTCCCGTATTCTCCTCCAATTTCAAAATCGTCTGACATCTTTGTTTTAATTTATTATTATTATTTAAAAAAAAAAATTTGTGACGTTTCCAACGTGATGACGTAATGCCTGGCGTGTCGCCGACCAGCACAAGATGAACAATTGTGGTTAAAAAGTATATAAATGTTGGGTTTTTTTTTTAAATGACCGATCGTTTCGCTAGATAAGACCCTATTCCTCAGCTGGGATCGTGCAGAGCCGTTTGAAGCACTTCAAAGCCCTTTGAAACTGCATTGATTTGGACTTCAACACGCTTGAAGTCCATTGTGAGGAGAAAAATCCTGAAATATTTTCCTCAAAAAACTTAATTTCTTTTCCACTGAAGAAAGAAAGACATGAACATCTTGGATGGCATTGGGGTGAGTAAATTATCAGGAAATTTTCATTTTGAGGTGAACTAATCCTTTAAGTCATCTTGAGGCCCTTTTGAAAGTTTGCCGAGGCCCCCTAATTGAGAACCACTGCACTAAGTTTACGCCAGGCATTAAGATCTAAACCATATCTGCTTCCGGTTAAGTCGTAGTAGAGTAACACTGGCAGTGTCAATGGTAATCTGTCACCAACTTAACTGTCAATCAACCATTGTGCTAAAAAAAATTGGGTTTGAAACGTTGATGGTTACACACAGCTTAGAAACAAAACAAAAAACTTTCAAAGACACACCCTTTGCTGCACGCACGTGTTAAGATCAGTCACATAATTTGCTTCTTTCTCCTTTCTTTCTCACTTTGTATTTTATTTCCTTCCTTCCATCTTTCCACGTTATTTTCTTCCCTTCCTTGTTTCATTTCATCCTTTAGTTCTTTCTTTTTCTATCTATCCATCTATCTATCTATCTATCTATCTATCTATCTATCTATCTATCTATCTATCTATCTATCTATCTATCTATCTATCTATCTATCTATCTATCTATCTATCTATCTATCTATCTATCTATCTATCTTCTGTCTTTCAAAAACTAGTCACACACTGACATAGTTATTTAGTCATGAAATCAGAGACCCTGTCCTTGAAATCCGATCGCAAGTAGTCACAGGTGACACGCATTCTAGTAAGTAAAATATGTTTCATCTTATCTCTAGTGATCAGATCACCTGAGACAGATCTTAACATCCGATGTAAGCAAGGTCTAAGTGGAACAACAAACTAGCAGAGGTACTCTTTAGTTTTACTGGAGGGGTAGATGATGCGTGCTCTTGACAATGAGCTCATAGCAACACAAAACCAGTCGTGAGAACAGATGAGGTTTGTACCTGTGGTCCAAGAAGAGGAATTTCCACTCTAAACTGTGTCTGGAGGTGAATTCCTCATTGGGCTCCTCTACAGTACACATTTCCTGTCGAAACAGAGATTATAAACAGGACCATTCGAACTTATGAGCACGTCTAGCAGACAAAAAAAAACGAGAACAGAAACCAAGTGACCTACTTCTCACACTGAGTGTTTTGTATGCTGGTCATTTATCAGTGTCTTCAAAAACAAAGCTAATTCTTGCACAAACATGTACAGTGTCTATCAACACACCCACACACACATTCATCTTTTGTCATGATGAAAATGTACACAGCAGATCTCACTGAGGTTGTCACTGTCTGCCAGGCAAATGTTAGAAGTCACAGGAGCAATGAGAAAGTGCTCAACCCACCTTGATAAACTGAGGTTTGGCTAACCTCACAGTTGCTATGAAACACACTCTGTCTTCAAAAGCAGGCCTCAGCGATCGCTGGATCACTCCCTCAAAGCCGTTACGTGTTGAGTTAGGCACTAAAGACAAAAAGACAAGCGAATCTTCGTAAATGGAAGTTTTTAGAAATAATGAACAGTAAGCTTATTTTCTTCAGCCTACCACTAGGGGGCAGCAAACTGTGAGGAACCGTCAAACGTTTTTTTTTGTATTTAAAACAGCAAGCTCCTGCAGTGTTCATTTTAACACGTAGTTAATGTTTTTTGATGAAAATGTCTGTTAAATTGAGTCAATATTTCATTATCATATTCATGCATTTTACTCTCACTAAAATGGGAAATGTGCGCGCACACACATTTTCATGTTTTATGGGGACTTTCCATAGTCATAATGATTTTTATACTGTACAAACTGTATATTCTATCCCCTTACACCAACTCTATCCCTAAACCTACCCATCACAGAAAACTTTCTGCATTTTTACATTTTCAATGATGAAATATGATTTATAAGCTGTTTTCCAAAAAAATGTACCCACAAGAACAAGGATTTTGGATATTGCCATCTTTGTGGGAACATTTTGTCCCCATAATCTAGGGTTTACCAGGCCACCCACCCACCCACACACGCACATATACAAAACTGTCATGGTATCTCTCTGAGAAGTTAAACTACCATTCAAATGTTTGGGGGCAGTACGATTTTTTTAAAGACATTTTTAAGAAGTTAATACTTTAAAGGGATACTCCACCCAAAAATAAAAAATACTGTCAGCATTTACTCACCCTACAATTGTTGCAAACCTGTATGAGTTTCTTTCTTCTGCTGAACACAAAGGAAGATATTTTGAAGAACGATTGAAACTTTGGCACCATTGACTTCCATAGTATTTTTTTTTTCTACTATGGAAGTCAATGGTGCCAAACAACTGTTTGGTTCCAATCGTTCTTCAAAATATCTTCCTTTGTGTTCAGCAGAAGAAAGAAACTCATACAGGTTTGCAACAACTTGAGGGTGAGTAAATAATAAATAACAATAATAATTTTAATATAAAAAAGAAGTCTCTTCAAATTATTAATCAGCACAACTTTTTCAACATTGATAATCAGAAATGTTTCTTGATCACCAAATCAGCACATTAGAACCATTTCTGAAGGATAATAATTCACAAAAATATTCTAGTAAAAATAACACGTCAAACTGTGACAAGTTTTTCCATGATTTAATTGTTTTAAAACATTTATTAATGTGTCAAGCATTAAGCATATAACGTATTTTTTAACATAAAATATAACATGAAAATTGTCCTTATGAAAACCTGAACTTATGAAATAATAGCATATAATTAGAATCCTTAGGTAAAATCTACTTTTAAATTTTAGTTAAAATGATTTAACTGTCATTGTGGAGTGTCTTTTTTGTCTTATCTTTATTGTTGCGGAAAACAAAAACCTTCATTAACAAACATTTTTATCAGTAATTTAATCGACAAAACTGCTTCCTGTACTTATAAATACATCTTAAAGGTGAAAGTTTTAATATTCCACCATCAACTATAATTAAGTCTATGTGTAAGTTGATTCCCCTGGGGGGAAAAGTGTGAACACAGCGGCTCTGTATATATACACACACACACACATCATTTTTGTAATTATGTTTACTGACACAAGTCAAATTACACACTTCACCTCTAGCCACAAATGGTAAACTTTCTGTCTTAAAATCTGGGTCAGAAGCCTGTTTCTCTGGCACACTGGCTTTACACAACACTTCCTATTGAAATAATGATCCTTGCTCCATCTTCTTTCATAAGAAGCACAAGCAATCAAGCACTTGGCTGGGTAATTCAATAAATGGATCCATATGAAAGACTCGGCTGATGCCGCGGGTGCTCGTTTTGACACTCACCAGTGTTGAGGGACTTAAAGTTTCCGATGAACTTGACATACTCATAAACGGGCGGCTCTTTCGGGTCGATCGTGCCCCGGAGCATGTGGCAACAGAACTCTAACTGGTTCTTTGCTGCAGGGAAGCAAACAAAACAAAACAAGAAAACAGCATTAATGAGCTCTAGTCTAGTCTCAGAAATAAGAAAATAACAGAGAGAACAGAGGAAACAGAATGAGAATGAAACCAATGATTTGGTCATGAGGAGATGATAAACATGTATGAGAGTGATTCTTACTCTTTAGATAGTCTGGGGTGAGGGTCTCTCCTTCCAGCATGTGTGTGGACAGGGCTTTATACACCTCCGAATGCTCACCAAGAGGGAGGAAATTCAACAGATTCTGATCCACAAGATCAGACTGAAAACACAACAACATACTTTGTCAGTATCTCTCATACTTACACAGTAAAGTTGCATTCACGTGGACAGTGTTTAAATTGCTGGAGGTGGCGGAGTTATTATTTTCTAGCAAACATTCTGTATCAACCATTGTATTCATAACTGATCAGGTGGCGGACAATTGCACAACCTTTAGTGGTCGCCGCATTGTGCCACTGCTCATTTCCATTTAATGTTACAAAAAATTCAATTTCAAATAAAAGCTGTTCTTTTGAACTTTCTGTTTACCAAAGAATCCTCAAAACATTTATTTACACACATATATTAAGCAGCACAACTGTTTTCAACACTGTCAATAACAAATATTTCTTGAGCGGCAAATCAGCATATCAATACCAATACCAATTGCTCCCATACCCCCAATCGCTCCCTGGGCACCGCAGTGAATGGCTGCCCACTGCTCCGGGTGTGTGTGTCCACGGTTTGCAGTGTGTGTGTGTCTTCACTACTCACTGCTCCTTATGTGTATGCACTATCTTAGATGGGTTAAATGCAGAGGACAAATTCCGAGTATGGGTTACCATACTTGGCCTTCACATCTCACACACACACAAGAATGATTTCTGAAGGATCATGTGACACTGAAGACTCGAGTAATGAGGCTGAAAATCCAGCTTTGCCATCACAAGAACAAATGACATTTTTGATTAAAAAAAATGAAGTGTGTTCATACTCACAGGTAGATGTTCTAATAAAGACGTAACGCTTTCTGAGACGTAGATTATGTTGCCGTCCGTCATGATGGCCAGAAAGAAGCCATCTAATGCCTAAAAGAATAAAGCAATGAAGAATATCCATAATACTGTAGTTTTAGCGTTTACTGAATTAATACACATGAGTAGGGGCTTTAGGCAAGTGTGTGTGTACCAGTAAGAGAAAGTCCTCACCTCCAGCATCAGCTGTGTGAACTCCTCATTGCTAAGAAAGGGCGGCTTCCAGTCCTGACGGATTTCACTCGACTCAGACTGCGCAGCAATTTCTGATGGTAAGACAATACAAACAACAAGAGTTCGGTTTCAAAAACAGGAGGACAAAGTTTACATTACAAGTTTATTTTCATCAGGTTAATAAACTAAATGTCTGATTAATTATAAATTGTTTACTTTAGTTATAACAGAATGAACTCAGTGCATAATAATGATGTACTTGTCAATATAAGCACCGTAAAACCGGGTTTTTATAGTTTTGAATCTCTTTCATAAATGGTATCGTCCCCAAAAATAATACCAAAAGCAATCCTTCCATTTGAGGAATATAGGAGCAACTAAAAGATGTCCTAATTTCTTTGGTGGTGCCCGTTAAATCTTTTGTCTGCTGCACTAATATTCCAATTTGTTGTATGCAGACTAATTGTTGTATGCAGACTTTTGTCTATCAATAAGAATCAATATCAGAAATATCTATATGTTGAATGAGAAAAGCAAACTGTGGTGGAGGTTTTACACGTTTTACATGTCATCAGACGGCTCCTTCCTGTCTAAGTGGATGGTTCTTGGCCAGAATACATCGATAGTAACTAGTCAAGTAAACAATTACAGAGAAAAAGTTGGATGTCAAAAATGTTGGATACATTATTGATTGAAAATATGAAAATGGTTTAGTTTTCTTTTTTTTCTTTTAGTCAATGAAAATATTAAGTTGACTTGTATTTTCAAAATGATAACTGATCTAAAACACATGACAAATCGAGATCTAAAAATATCTGGGATAACTAATAATTGGTATGGCACTGCAGTAACCTTTGTGCTTGCGCAGGAAGTCGATGCTCTTTTGTAGGATGGTAGACTTGTCCATCTTGCGGGTGTTTCCCGGCAACATGGTGCCCAGTTCCTTGATGAGCACATTGAACTGGTCTCGCCTCTTCTTTTCCGACTTGTTCCTAGATACTCTGTCGGTGGAAAAACAAGAGGTGGAAAATTCCAATCAGTGGAAATCAATCGTTGACTTTAAGATAATAAGATAATGACATTATTTCATTGGTATTTCAGAAGCTTTCAAAGTCACAGTTGAGCTCTAAACTGCACCAGTGTTAATTTTGTCAGCAAATTTTGATTTAGTTTTAGTCTTAGTCTTTTGACTAAAATGCCATTTAGTTTTAGTCATATTTTAGTCATCTGAATTGTTTTAGTTTTAGTCTAGTTTTAGTCGACGAAATACAATAACATTTTAGTCGACTAAATCTACAGTAGATTTAGTCGACTAAAATATAATGGGTTTAGTTCAATTGTAATGCGTTAATTTAGAATTTCTCTAAAATTTCCAAACCCATATACTCCCGGAGAAAACATCTATTAACCTATTAATATGAATGATTTTTAAGTTTGAACATGCAATACAGATACAGATTTAACTGCTGTTACTTAAAAAATATCTTAAAATGAAATAAAACCACTTTTCCTAAAGTACAACACAGTCTTCTTTACAATGAATGATATATTCATTCCTTATAACTACTTACACATCATTCTTTATTCTTTCAAGCAGACATATTTATTTGTATGAATTAAATATAATTAATCCTTATTAAAGCTATTAACAAACAGTGAATGCTTTTCTCTTTTTCTTTTGTTGCTTGATCAAAATTAAGGACACGGACCGCATTAGGTTTATTGCCACTGTCACTTTAAGACGTCGGATCATGTCCAATGACATGCGGATACAATTGCACTGATGCACATCCGACACACTCACAGTTTAAGACATAACCAGCATAGTTACATGAATACTCTCCAAAAAGGACATTTAGACATACTGTTGTGTATTTCTCCATTCAGACACGAAAGAGAGCTCAATTCAGTAGCCTACTCGCGCGCTGTAGGTGTATTGTGCATGACTGCACGCTTCGGGTTAGGTGTGTGCGCACAGAAAACCGCACCGAATAGAGCTCTTTTTTGCATCGTCACTCTTATTCAGAGATCTATATGTCTGCTCTACTCATTCTCCCAGACGTTCACATTTTTTAGCGTTTTATGACCGCGGGGTAGATCACGTTACAGTAGCCTACAAATGTGCGCATCTACCACACACGCAGGACATCAGTTCTGACGGATCGCTTCCCAAATCGTCACTATCTAACATTTTCGTCTAGTTTTTATTCGTTGACGAAAATGTCAATAGATTTTCGTCATAGTCTTTGTCATTTAAAACTAGGTTTTATTTAGTTATCGTCTCGTTTTCGTCTGTGAAAAAATGTCGTTGACGAATAATTTTCGTCGTTATTTTCGTCAACGAAATTAACACTGAACTGCACGTCATGTAACTACCTATTAATTCTTCAATTCACCTCTAAAAGTGATAATGGGACACTATCTGATATGAGAAAAATCTTGCAATGCTGAGAGAAACCATTTCACGGTTCTGTGATTGTATACAGAAGATGAGGGTGAATCTGTGCACTCAGGTCTAAACAGTCATAACTAGGTCACACTTAAGTTTCTATTCCTGATGCAAAACCACTTTAGATATACTACCGTGGAAAAGGACTTGTCTATACAATCCTCTAATAAATCATGTTTAATCCATTCTTGCATGAGATAATGGAATGAGATAATGGAATGAGGGGTTGTCTTGGGTAAGAGAAAGAAATTCCCGTTAAGCAACCATAATCATAATGTTTTGTTTGTATAATCACCTTTTTGCTTTGTCCTTCTCATCTTCTTCCATCAACCCATCAAAGATACTGCTGTCATCCCTGAAAAGAGACCAATAGTAAAAGCGGTTAGACCAGCTTGACTAATGTGAGCTCTACCTAGCTGGATCAAAGACAGCTTCATTCTTCACCCATCCCAGTGTTAGTGGGATTGTTCCCCAAAAAATAATAATGAGGAACATGTAGTTATCAAGCTTTCAAACAGGGCACAATAAGTCTTCTGAAGTCATATGATAGCTTTGTGTGAGGAACAGGCTGAACATTTAAATCATTATTCATTGTTCAATGCTCACCAAAAAATAAATATTCTGCCAATTAATCATGCTTTTCTAAACGCATAAGACCAAAACTTTGATCTTACTTTTTAATCAAAGTCTTCTGAAGAGACATGATCACTTATATGATGAACAGATTTAATATAAGCTTTTACTCGCATATAAACACTGATCAACGCTAATTCATAGGGCACATCAGATATGGTATCGGAAGCTCAAACATGCTTGGATTTCTTCTACGAAGTTTTATGAACTTTTTGAAGCGTCAATGTTTTTGTGTTCACTGGAGGGACAGAAATCTATCATGTTTTATTATTAAAAATATCGGTCACACTTTAGATTAGGGTCCAGTTCTCACTAATAACTACGATTTTTGCCTCAATAAACTCCTACATTCGGTTTATTAATGTTTGCAAGGTAGTTAAGTTTATGTATTAGGTAGGATTAAGGGATGTAGAATATGGTCATGTAGAATAAGGCATTAATATGTGCTTTAAAAGTACTAATAAACAGCCAAACTAAACTAAAGTGTTACCAAAATATCTTTCTTTGTGTTTCCAAGATCAACAAAAGTCTTATGGGTTTGGAACGACATAAGAGTAAGTAAATGATAACAGAATTTTAATTTTTGGGTGAACTGCTGAAACAACAAATCATGAACAAATCATTCGGAATGGTTTTATGAACTGCAAGATCAAACTCAAAAGGACAATTAATTCCCTGAATCAAATATTGCTGATGCTTGAATCATTAGCTTGACATTCTTTTTGTCCCCATTCATTGTAATTGCATGGATGCATGGAAAAGAGTGGCCAGAACAATCTTCAACATGTCCTCTTTTCACTGGGGGGGGGGGGGGGGGGGACAATCATGCAGGTTTGGAACGACATGAGGGTGGGTAAATGAGTGAGCGAGTTAATGAGGAAATATAAAAACGACTAAACCGAGAAAATGTTTAAGCCATTTCTTCTGATGCCCCACAATATTTCATCATAATCAGATCAGGCAATAAATCATTGATAAAACAGGCAGCAGGTCAGCAGTGGAGGTGGCAGTGAGAGGCGGACATAAAGGTCTGTAGGGGCGCTGTGTGTGTGTGTGTGTGTCAGTATATATTTAGATACCCAGTGTTCTCTGACTCAGCTGCTTTGTGAGCACAAGACAGAAAGCGAGACCAGCTGGTCATAGCAGAGGATCTGAGAACAGTTTGTAATAGTTTGGGTTTGGAAAGACATGAGGTCGAGTGAGTAAATGACAGTTTATTTATGATCTTTTTAAGGTCATCTCAACACGACAACAGTCACTCTGTCTTTTTCAGCTTTGAGATAATTGGTCTTTTGCACAGGGTGTTCAAATGTGTGTCTGTCTCTGGAACAGCAGAGATCATAATGACCTTTCATTTATTGTGTGTAGGTATATATACAAGTCCAATGAGTGCATATGCAACCATATGCAACCATACGAGTGTGTATTTGCAAAGTTACAAATTAATGAGTGCAAACAACAGGCTGGGTAAATAAACCAATGTGCATTTTGCTCTGCCGCTGGGTGTCCATTACCAACATTCTTACATAAACAATCCAGAATTTGCCCCAGTCCATTTGCATTAATGGTTGTGGGTGTGTGACTGTGTGTTTGAGTGAGGAAGCACCCACTGCTCTAATAATGCCACATAATATGTTCGATATTATTGCTGCATGTGACTGAAAACTGCATTTTCAATTTAGAATACAGATATGCAGTTTAAGAGGAAACAGAAAAAGAAAATAAAGTTTAAAAAATATGCAATAAATGTCTAACATCTATAAATGATTCTAAAAATACACTGACGCCATTTGGCTGCCAAACTAAATTTTTTTTATATCAGCTCTGTGAATCCAAAGCCATCTGATTAAAATGGTGTGTCCGCACACAATACGAAGAGGTAAGATTGACTAAGAAAATTTAAAAGAGACAATTAGTAAGAAAGGAGTCAGAAAAAGCTAAATATTTTCACCTAATTTCAGTTTACATTGTGAAGAGAAAAAACAGTGTAAAAAAGCCCATAAAATGGCTTGCTGAGCAGAGTTTTTCCCCGTATTTATTTATTTTTCTAATTAGGGGCTTGCAAAGGGCTTACAAATGCCTTGTCTTTAAAAATAAAAATAGCCACTATGTTTTAGTCAGCACTATCATTCAAAAGTTTAGGTTTGGTAAGATTTTTTTTAACGTTTTTGAAAAAAAGTCTCTTATGCTCATTAAAGCTGCATTTATTTTATAAAACAAATATAGCAATGATTTAAATTGAAAATAACTGTTTTCTATTTTAATATATTTTAAAATGAAATGTATTCCTGTGATGGCAGAGCTGAATTTTCAGCATCATTGCTTCAGTCTTCAATGTTACATGATCCTTCAGACATCATTCTGATATGCCGATTTACTGCTCATGAAACATTTCTTATTAGTATCAATTTAGAAAACAGTTGTTTTTAGGATTATTTGATGTTGAAAGTTGAAAAGAACAGAATTGATCTGAAATATAAATCTTTTGTAACATTATAAATGTCTTTATTGTCACTTTCGATCAATTTAATGAGTCCTTGCTGAATGAAATTATTTCTTTCTTTCCAAAAAAACATCCTTACTGAGCCCAAACTTTTGAACAGTAGTGTAAAACCATAGCCACAAACCATGATTGGCTACTTTCTACTGCTAATCAGAATTAGAAGGTTTTATGAGGTGTAAACATTCATTAGCAAGCTTTTTATCAAGGGAAAAAAAAACTGCCCACGCCCATGAGCGCAAGATGAGTCATCTATATTTTTTGTGCGTTTTGCTAGAAGAGAAAGACTATATGTTAAATGCATATAAGTCAACTTTTAGGAGTAAACTAACATACATATATCAATTCTTACATTTATCCATCACAAACAAAAGAGACGACACATATTCGTTGAACATAAGATGCATTTAGTACGTTTTCCAGCCTTTGAGCCGTAGTACCATCACATTATGTATGAATTGCAATTGAACGCTTCGGTTGCATTTGAAGCCACACACTCAACATTCATCATTCACTTCCAAATGCGTCACTGCGTCTGCCACTACAGCCTCGTGCGTGACACACAGCCAGCATTAGAGATTGTGTATCGGCTCATGACTGAATGACCTCATTCCACACCTGTCTTTAGGCTTAAAGTTGCTGCATCTAAAAGACCCTCCACACAGTGACAGGATACACACACACTCGCACAAATTAAAGTGAGAGGAGAGCTGTAATTGTTTTGAAGACACAAACAAGTCCATTAGTCACTGCACACTCATTGTGTGGTATTTTCTTTCTCACACAATCTATCCGACTAGGCGACTACCCTAGGAACGACTTGTTTTGAACATGCACCTCATTTAAGTATACTGAAATTAAGCTAATTTGAGCTAATTTTATACTGCCAAGACAATGCAGTGCTTGTGTATTAATTTCACAGTTCTCTCTCGAACACACACACACACACATAGAGGATGTGGATGGCTGATTATTAACTTTAATAGTGTTTGTGTCGTGAGTGACCGTTTTAATTCGCCATCTTCCTGATTCCAGTAAAGCAAACACAGCAACAGTTGACCACAACAATGCAATAAGGATGTCAACTGATGCCAGAGATCTAGTTTCCAAGCACAGCATTTATCACAATGCATAAACAGAGGCTCGACGTGCCTTGAATAGAGTGGTGCAGGAATGACATCACTTTGTAGGCCAAAACACGGAAACGAGTTATCAAAGTCAATGTTTTTTTTTTTGAATGGGGTTTTGGTTAAATGGCTGAAATAAGGTCTGTGGTGAACGCCAGCTCAAGACACTTTCACATTTTACTCTAAATCAGTACTATTTTTGAAGCTGTTACTGTAGATGTCTTGAAAAAGGCGGTTGCTAACAAGTGGCTAAATGGGACTACAGAGGCTGTTGAGGAGACTTAACGTCATCACGCCGAACAGGTAAACTTTTACAGTTGCTTTGTACGCTTTTAGAGTTCGTTATGCTTATAGTTGTGCTCTTATAAACTATTCTAAATCAAACGTTTTTTAGATAAAAACTGAAAGAGTTGTCGGAAGCTTAGTGATGGTGACGTTGAAGTTGTGGGACCGCTGTGTGGTTCGTTTATAGCCTACCTTTAGCTTTTTACTTCTGGCGACTGCATTTAGGCTTCAAAATTCATAAAAGTTGTGTTCATCTGTGATAATTATCTTGATGGACAAAACGTGCAAGTATCATAAACTTTTGTTGTTCACAGAGCTTTTTTTTGCGATAATCCAAAAGCCTATGGGGAAATCCTATTGGGTTTTTGTCGAGGGAGCCAGTGTGATGCTAACTGCCTGTTGGCTCTTTGCGGAGGGTCAATTACCCTTGATGTTTATTATCAAATGTTTATTATTATCAAAGGACTAAAAAGAGGAGTATATGTTATAGTGCTGCATGTTTACCAAAAGGCATAAATTTACTGGCACTGGCAAATATTAAGACTCAATATTTAACTAGAAGCCAACAGGAAAACATCATTTAGCAGTGTTGGCCACATAAAGTAGACTTCCTGATTGGCCATTGTTTTTCAAATGAGATCCAAATGGCAATGTCAATGCCCCATGCTCATTTAAATTAAAGGTAAAAATTTAATTAAATTTAATAGAATTAAAAAAAATGATGCTGAAATTTAATCATGATGCTAAATTTAATAGAGTTAAAAAAAAATGATGCTGAAAATTCAGCTTTGCCATCACAGGAATAAATGAAGTAAGTAATGTACACATTATTCTCAATAAAACTTAAGTGTCCCACTTCATCTGTATTCACCTTAATTGCAAATTTTCCTCAAGAGTTTTTAACGCAGCCCAGAACTGTTCAACACACATTTGACCTAGATTTACTCAATGAAATGTTTAGCAGTGGATATCAGAGATGTGGACTTGAGACTCCTGACTTAAACTCAAGTCCTATTGCTTAGTCCTTTTGCCTGGCAAACATTACAATACTTAAAACTAACATTTGGACAATCACAAGAAGTTGTGACTGAATTTCACCCAAGTTTCTGTCAGATGGTGTTTGGAAAGTGTCAAATATGTGTGCGGATGAAAAATATCAGGTTTGACCATTAAAAAAAATCATCATTAACTTCATCAGACATCCCAAAGTACAATGTCTGAACAAATTTGGTTGTATCAACAAAAAAATATGTGTCATAATGCTGGAATGTAGAGTACATCATCGAGCCCGCTGGATGTTTAACAAGTAATGCTGAACTAAGTTTTAGGTTTTTAGTCAAATTTAATCTGACATTTACTTGCCCCACTTATGTGCATATTTATATTTTAGCATATTTTAAAACTTAAACCTGACATAAACTCTATAACATGAGATGTGACATGAATGGCTTGAGAATTATTGACAGCTAAAAACCAGAGAACCTTGACTAACAAACTGTGATGTGTCCCAAAGTCATAGTGGTTCAAATGTGTAAATATTAAAAAATGCAATCATGATAGAAGTCTAAATGTATCCGTTTGCACTTTAAGGGCCTGGTAGTTTCACTTTGGCTTAACTGTACAGCAGGTCAGACCAGTCCCATCACTTCAGGATGAGCGAATATGAGTGCATAACAGCTTACCACATAAAAAAAAAACACTTTAGGTTTTATTAATTAATATTAGTAAAGTACATTAGTTAACATGAACTAATAATGAACTGCACTTCTACAGCATTTATTAATCTTAGTTGATGTACATTTCGACATTTACTATTATAAAAATCAAAAGTTGTATTTGTTAACATTAGTTAATGCACTGTGAACTAACATGAACAAACAATGAACAGCTGTATTTTTTATAACATTAACAAAGATTAATATATATAGTAACAATTGTTAATTCATGTTATTTAATACATTAACTAATGTTAACAAATGAAACCTTATTGTAATGTGTTACCAAAGTTAATTACAAACTCAGACTGAATTTGAACAAAAAGCGCTATTATAATGAAAGATTTACCATAATTAAAAAAAGAATTAAGAGTTTCAGTTGGTTATTTTTATTATATTATATTAAGAATAATGTTAACTGCTGCATATTAAATATCAAAATGCAATAACTTCTTTCGATGTTGCGGAATCATATCATATTTATTATCCAGTACCAGGATATTGGACATCTGGATTTGAAATCGCATGAAATCGGATAAATAAAAATATTACAAAATAAACAGCAAAGAGCACATTTATTGTGTTATTTATCTGGCATCAGATAAAATATTAGCTAAATAATAATTAATAATATGTGTATAATAAATTTGTAATTTCTACATTATGATAAACTAAATAAACTACTAAAATAAATATTTAATATGTAATTATTTCCTTAAGCAGCTTATATTGCTATTTGTACTATTGTAATTATATTAACATGCAATGCATGTAATAAAAACGCTAGTATAAAATGCAACTCAGTATGCTTAACAGCAAATATTCAAATTTGTTAAGAATAACAAATAAAAAAATATATATATTTTAGATAAAAAAAAATGGGAAAAGAAAAACAAGTACTTCTCATCCCATGTCAGAGGTGTGGAGCTTCATTCTCACATGCTGCCTTTTTTTTCTCCTCACTCAAATCAATCAACACAAACCACAAGCAAAATTCGTACAAGTTAAAACGACTGTGTAAAATGCATATGAAATCCCCCAGTGTTCTGCCTAGAACGTGTCCTGTGTGAAGGGCCACTGAGAGCTCACGAGGGTCTGAGAGATGAGAGGATTTCACTGAATAAGGTAAGAAAATACAGATTGTTCAATCGCCATTAGGTGAGATGGTTTTAAGTCTCTGTTTTCGATCGTAGGTGCCACTGCCATCTCCAGTTACTTCACCTGGAAACCTTTGAGAGAGGAAAATGGAGCTGCTGCTCTATTCAGCGTGGCGGTAATCCAGAGATTAGCCTGAAAAATTCCACACCGCTGCCACACAACGGCCCATCTCACTGTCACTCAACAGGCTCGACCAGTTAGAAAAAAGCCGGGTGCATCGAGGCCGGCCAGAGTGGGCATGTTTAATGTCATTCCATTCACTGCTGTCTCTATAGCAACTGGCCATGGGTGTGTTACATTTGCATGTTAGAGGAAAGGAAAGCTGTTTACGAACATGGATATTAAGATTGTTTAATAGGAGCGCTTCATCTCTGTTGCACCGTAACTGTAACCATGGTTACGGTGTCAGGCAAAATATGCTGTTATGCGGTGCAGGGCAGGAACTGTCTTGGTTTGAATGAAAATAATAATGGAGATTTATTAGCCATTTTATTGATGTTCTGTGCCGATCTGATACATGTTTTTGTGTAGAGTTTGGCTAATGTTAAAGGGATAGTTCTCCCAAAAATAAAAATTCTTTCATCATTTACCCTCAAGTTGATTCATTTCTTTCTTCTGTTGAACACAAAAAAGATAGTTTGAAGAATATGGGTAACCAAACAGTTTATGGGCCCCATTGACATCCATAGTAGGAAGAAAAAATACTATGGAAGTCAATGGGGCGCATCAACTGTTAGGTTACCCATATTCTTCAAAATATCTTCTTTTGTGTTCAGCAGAAGAAACAGACTCATACAGGTTTGAAACAACTTAAGGGTGAGTAAATGTCCACAGAATTTTAATCTTTGAGTGAACTATCCTTTTAAGAGAATCGATTGTTTAAACGATGGTTTAGGGTCGACCAAGGACTTACCGGTCTATGCTGGAGGTCATTTTTGTAGTGTGTTCAGGGTCGCAGTTGTAGAGAGAGGATCTTTAAGCGTGAGGTAGACATTTGTACATTAACCTGGGTAACAAAATGAGAACAACAACAATTTTATTTAATGCAATTTAAATGTGTTTATTTAAAAGGCACTCCTTAAAATACATTTAAAAAATCGTTTTATTAGGGCTGTCATGATACCAAACATTCAGCAGTCAATACAAATACCAGTTATTTACTGCTACAAAAATTAAATGTAGTAGTAAGTGCTTTCAGCTTTTCAAGAAACAAAATTGAATAAAGACATAAATAAAGTAGATAATGCTTGAAATTTTTCAGGTATCTAACAGCATTAAAGTCTCCGAATTAATTAGAAAACATTCATAATAAAAAAAAAAAAAAAGAACCATAAGAACTATTAAGTTGCATTTAGACTGCAAGATCTCATACTTTGACACACATCTTTTTTTTCTTAGTCACCATAACATTTTTTTTTATGAAATATTGCAGTATCATAAATTATTGATCAGTGAACGCCATTTTTTTTAATTCCCTTGTAATCTTTAATCAAAATAACTTCCCCTCCCTCTTGCAGCAAAATGATCTCTTCTTTTCTCTGATGACATGTTTTCCGGCGTGAGGGCGGGACAACCTGTCACTCAAAATCAAGTCCAGACCAACTTTTACTTGAGAATTTGTTTCACTCGGATATATACGTCACAACAGGGAAGAAAAGACGATGACAACTTCCTTTCTATGCCGACTTTAACATAAGACAAAATGACTGTTTTTATACAGCAGAAAGAAGGGCATAGTATTTTGTTTTACTTTTTTTCACTAATATTTTTTTATTTTACTAATACATTACCTTGTAGTGAAGTTCTGGTACTTTTGACGTCCTTAGTTTTCACTACTGTGGTTTACATTTACATTTATTCATTTAGCTGACGCTTTTATCCAAAGTGACTTACAATTGCTATATATGTCAGAGGTCGCACGCCTCTGGAGCAACTAGGGGTTAAGTGTCTTGCTCAGGGACACATTGGTGTCTCACAGTGGCTTCGAACCCGGGTCTCTCACACCAAAGGCATGTGTCTTTATCCACTGCGCCATCACCACCCCAATGGTTACAACATTACTGCTCCAGTGCTCCTGATATAGTCATCTCTTGTAAGATGAATTGCTTGTGATTTTCCTCATTTGTAATCTATTTTATATAAAAGCGCCCAGTTATTAGAGTTATTAAATTAAAATGCAACAATGACCCATGTGGAATAAACAACAATTAAATATGGTAATTCATTCAAAAACAAACTTACCTTCAGGCGTGCTTGCTCTAAGGAAGGAAGAGAGAAGCTTGCCACAGGATGTAGGATGAGGACAATCGGTGGGCAAGACAGAAGGTGCGTGTGAATATGAATGTTTTTGTGTGCAGGGTCAATCAGAGGATTCTGAGGTCAAGGTAGAAAGGCCTGCTGTGGGTCCCTGTGGGGTGTGTGTGCTTTCAGTCGGGTGTGAGACTGGAGGCACCACATGTTAGCACTACCTAAGAAAAAACAGAAACAATCAGGATTATGATTACCCATTTTATACTGTATATATGTAATGAAGGTAGCATGTTAAATATACACTCACCTAAAGGATTATTAGGAACACCTGTTCAATTTATCATTAATGCAATTATCTAATCAACCAATCACATGGCAGTTGCTTAAATGCATTTAGGGGTGTGGTCCTGGTCAAGACAATCTCCTGAACTCCAAACTGAATGTCAGAATGGGAAAGAAAGGTGATTTAAGCAGTTTTGAGCGTGGCATGGTTGTTGGTGCCAGACGGGCCAGTCTGAGTATTTCACAATCTGCTCAGTTACTGGGATTTTCACGCACAACCATTTCTAGGGTTTACAAAGAATGGTGTGAAAAGGGAAAAACATCCAGTATGCGGCAGTCCTGTGGGCGAAAATGCCTTGTTGATGCTAGAGGTCAGAGGAGAATGGGCCGACTGATTCAAGCTGATAGAAGAGCAACTTTGACTGAAATAACCACTCGTTACAACCGAGGTATGCAGCAAAGCATTTGTGAAGCCACAACACGCACAACCTTGAGGCGGATGGGCTACAACAGCAGAAGACCCCACCGGGTACCACTCATCTCCACTACAAATAGGAAAAAAAGGCTACAAATTGCAAGAGTTCACCAAAATTGGACAGTTGAAGACTGGAAAAATGTTGCCTGGTCTGATGAGTCTCGATTTCTGTTGAGACATTCAGATGGTAGAGTCAGAATTTGGCGTAAACAGAATGAGAACATGGATCCATCATGCCTTGTTACCACTGTGCAGGCTGGTGGTGGTGGTGTAATGGTGTGGGGGATGTTTTCTTGGCACACTTTAGGCCCCTTAGTGCCAATTGGGCATCGTTTAAATGCCACGGCCTACCTGAGCATCGTTTCTTACCATGTCCATCCCTTTATGGCCACCATGTACCCATCCTCTGATGGCTACTTCCAGCAGGATAATGCACCATGTCACAAAGCTCCAATCATTTCAAATTGGTTTCTTGAACATGACAATGAGTTCACTGTACTAAAATGGCCCCCACAGTCACCAGATCTCAACCCAATAGAGCATCTTTGGGATGTGGTGGAACGGGAGCTTCGTGCCCTGGATGTGCATCCCACAAATCTCCATCAACTGCAAGATGCTATCCTATCAATATGGGCCAACATTTCTAAAGAATGCTTTCAGCACCTTGTTGAATCAATGCCACGTATAATTAAGGCAGTTCTGAAGGTGAAAGGGGATCAAACACAGTATTAGTATGGTGTTCCTAATAATCCTTTAGGTGAGTGTATTCCTTAAATCATTTCAGATTTAGAAGAGATGATATGTCATATGAAATAAATGTCCAGACATAATAAAAAAAAATTAAAAAAGCCTAAATTAAATTGTAAATCGTTCCATTGTGAATAATTATGCAAGCATAGCTGGCAAGAAATGAATTATGTTGTGATTTTTAAAGAGAACTGAATTGTAATTTATGATTTGGGAATAAATAAATAAACTCACTCATGTCATTATTTCTGTAATAGCAGCAACGCTCCTGAACCACTGTAAATCTGCTCTTAAATCTGAAACAGAAACAGAAATTAGTCAAATAAACAGCAGGCTCCTGAGAAAACGGCTTCAGTTACAGATTAAAGGAACTAATAATACATTAGCATAACTGGTGCTAAGGAGTTTATAACCAAAATAAAATTTAATAAAAACATCTGAACTCATAAAACTAAGCATTCAGGTTTCAAGATAAAAACATCACTTTGAATCAGTAAGCCTGGGAAGAGTCATGACCTTGAAGTTAAACTGTTAAACATTCGGCAACGCAGAGGGGAAAAGCATAATTACCGCTATACCCTAAATGATGAACTGACATTTAACATTTCACCCTGGACTAACAGTTCTGTCCATCCCAAAATAAACTATTCAGCCTAACCCTGCAGGATATTTTACAAGGCCACAGATGTTGTGATGTACTGCCAAGCATGATAGACGACTTGGCAAGACTTTCTCCACCAAAGATAAACACTTAATACTGTAAAAGCAGGGCCGAAGTTCAAACATTCATAAGAACATACAGAATTCACTGTCATTACCAGTTAACTGCAGTATGATGTGCGCTGTACTAACCACAGTAGTCATTTACATTCACTTGCCAAAAAAAAAAAAGATAGTTCACCTAGAAATAATTTACTTAATTTGCTTTACATTTAATTTCATTGTACGAAGGGGGACAAATTCAAAATATCTTTGTTTGTGTTCCACAGAAGAAAAGAAATCCATATAGGTTAGTAATGTTGTTTTCTTTTAAATTTGTCCTTTTGTTCTTTGAATGAATTTCTTTTTTTTTTAAAAAGGGATAAAATAAAATAAAAATAAGATATAAAGTTAAATTAAATAAAAAAGATCAAATATAAAAAATTTAATATAAAAAAACACATATACATACATACATACATACATATTACACACACACACACACACATATATATATATATATATATATATATAATTAAAGGTACAATATGCAGGATTTTTGCAGTAAAATGTCCAAAAACCACTAGGCCAATGTTATATATTTTGTTTGGTTGACTACTTACAATATCCCAAATGTTTCCAACTATTTGTAAATCGTGCGAAAATTGCGCTTTTAAACAAGGAAACGGGGCGTGTGAGCAGGGGTGAGGAGTCGCCAGTCAATGGCGTCATATCCGCGTTACCCCCGGTTTCCGCCAGGTTTGACCTGGTACTGCAATAGTAACCATGGCGACAAAGTTGACAACTGGTTTATGCCCGTTATGCCTAGAAGGACGCTCACGCTGTTGTTGTTTTGTTCAAACATTATGGACCATGGCAAGCAGACTTTGAGACAAAAAGAGGACTAAAACGAAGATCAACATCTTTACGCCATTTCATGAGATCAGTCTGTCTTTCGAGATGCCGAGAGCTCCACGTCCGCGACTAACTTTGACTTGACAGAGACGCGAGTGTTGCATGTTACTTTATTAGACAGGAGTGCGTTTCCCGAAAGCATCGTTATCCAACTATATAACGACGGAACTTGCGACCATAGTTGGCTTTGGGAAACGCACCCCAGGTGAGCAAATCTGTACATAAAACTAATCAATGTTATGTAGTTCAACATGATGAAAAGTTATTCTCTAATGTTAATCTAGCTTAGTCTCATACAGCCAACAAACAACCTAACTAACAACATTCCACCCACAAAGGCCGTTTAGTGTGATAGTGTAACTGTTAGAGCAAGTGAAACCTCAACCTTACCTCAAGTTTAATTCCTCTAATAAACTGACCTGTGTGAGTATTAATTCTTGCGTGTAGTTCTGTAGAATGAAATGTCCTTATTCCTTTAACACGTTATATCCGCGGGACTCGCGTTGCGTGTGGGGCTGGTTACTTATACGTCTAGCAATCGCGCCCTGCTTCATACCACAGTCATGTTAAAAACATCAATGTATTCACTCAACCATAAAAGATCCATCAGCTTGACGACAATATCCATAATTACGCTTAATGCGGAATATACGTCATTAATATACGCCTTTGTTATTGTAAGAGGTTAGCGACCCCTGGTGGCGGAAAATCCTGCATATTGTACCTTTAAATAAAGTATAAAATAATAATAATAAAATAAAAATGATAAATGTAGTAAATAAATCAAATGTATGAGTGCCTCCCTTCATGTGGGAGTGCATAACTCTTTGTACTCCTGTATACAACTCTGGTAAAATGAGAACAGGCATTGGTTCTCTATGGAAATTACCCAGCATGAAAGAAGCCGTGAGAGTGAGCTGGGTGAGACATGAAGAAGCTGTAGTACCCTGACAAGCTGAAAGACGTGTCCAGGGAAGTGCATGTGCCATAAAGGCACACACACCCCTGAGGGCAGTCTATATATAGCAGTGGTGGTGCGGTATTGCCTTCACATCACTCATATTAGGTTTCCATGTCTTGAACAGGCAGACTGCAGTAATCAATGAGCATCTTCTGAACCGAGACGACAGCATCCTGTTCTTTTCATCATAACCTTCATTATGCTAAAAAAAAAAATAATGCATGTGACGTTCATGTAAAAATTTACACAACTTCACAAACAAAAGTAGCTGCTTTGACCCAGTTCAGTTCTTTAATAAGCATTAGGTTTGTGATAAAAGTTGGATCAAAGTGCATGTGCTTATCAAGATTACTACTATCAGAATACAGTTCACGGACTTTCTTTTGGCTAATTTTCTCAAATATTTAACATTTAGGCTGTTTTCATGCATGGTTTGATTGTCTAGTCCGAACTAGAGTTTGATTCAATCCTATTTCCCCTGCAAGTCTCTTTTTACACTGAATTATTTGGGTCCGAATTATTTGGGTGATATGTACCCTCACCAAGAACAACTGCTAATAACTAGCTAACAACTCTGCATATTATTTTTATTATTAAGAAGCTTTTAAAATATGTTTTTACAAGAATGCTGGCCAAGATGGTTACTGTAAAGAAACACAAAAATAGTCAAGATAAAACATTAAAAAGGCAACAAAAAAAATACTAATAATTAGAAACTACAAATAAAATGCAATATGAAGCATAAAAAGCACAGTGAAAATAAAATATTAAAAAATACAATAAAATAAAATTCATAAAATAAAACCAAATGTAAAAAAATGCCATGTAAAAAATAAAAAATATTGCTATCTGGGATTGCTTCCCATAAACCTCAGACCACTTTTCCAAGCCTTTGCACCTTTATGATTCGCTAGTGCTCACCCCAACTTCAGAAAACCACTTTCACACCAACCAAATTAAACAAGCTCTGACGTCAAACAGACGCAGAGTCCTCTTTAGTGTGAAAGCACCCCTAAAGCTCCCAGCACAAGACACTCTTAAAACTCCCATAAAGATATTTCTTTTTTTGCATACTGCAGAGAAAATCCTTCTGTCAGTCAGTCACACAAAACCAGTCAGTGATACAGCATAATGATAGAACACATTACTGCATTTGTCACCCTGCCAGAAACAGTCAGTTGTTCTTGTTTACAAGCTTGTACTTTATGGGCATTTCAATGGTCTATAAAAAGGATAACAGGAAAGAGTATGGCGTAATGCTAGAAGTTAGCGTGACTTATCAGCTAACACGCGGATTGAGCAATAGTTCTGGAGTGGCGTCAGTTCATTTTCATATGACATTCACACGCAGAACGGACACGCATACCTAAACACACCCACAGATTCTTATTAGCTCAAAGAAAAAAAAAGAAAAAAAAAAATCACATGCAACTGGGTCATTCTTCAATTGGAGTGATGAGAGACAGAATTTGAAAAACAAAATGATTGTTATTTTTTTTATAATAATATGTATTGCTATGTATTTAAATTGTGTTGTGTCATATGTGATATTCAGTCAAATAGAATCTTCAGGACATCTTAGTCAAATAAGTGTGTACCACCCAGGTAACATCACAGACTCTAAAACACGAAACTGTCTGGAATTTTTCAACATTTATGAAAATTAATAAAGAATGAACACAGAAATATATGTATACACAATATATATATACAGTATATATATATATATATATATACACACATACACAGTATACACACACACATACATATATATATATATATATATATATGTGTGTGTGTATATATATATATATATATATTTTTTTTACAATTTCATTAAATTGTACATTGTAAGCAAAATATTTATTCACAATATAACCACTTTATAGCAATTACATACCAGGATAACTCTTTGATGTATACTGGGAACAGGCAGATTTTATCACACGTGAAATCTCTCCAACTTAAAGCTGCAGTAGGGAGTTTTGAGAAAACGTTGACTTAGCCTGAAAATTTGAACAAGCACAACTTACAGGTCCCACCCCCTTGCTCTCTGCTGCGCTACAGCCCTCCCTCCACAGCTCCTCCGCAGGCTAGTAAGCTGCAGGGCCACCGATAACAGCGGATAAACAGTTATGGCACATTCACTAGTAGGGACGAAACACCAACAACATGCTTAACATTTAATAAGGCCTGCCCATACTTTGACTACAAACTTGGTCCTCAAATCATTACATATTTTGCAATACATGTAATGTAACTTTATAACGTTGCACCCTTTCTATAAGTTATAAATAGCTAGTAAGATAATATAACGGTAACTAACGTAACAGTATGTAAGTAATTATTCTAGCGATATGTAGGCCTAATGCTAGATAAGGTTTGCTAGTACATTTGTATCTGGGTTCAGTTGTTATGGGAAGGAGGAGGCGGGAACCGGCGAACGTTCAACAAGTTTAATAATAAATAAACAAATACAAAATGAAAGTATAAGCCAGCAGCCCCTCACGGACGACTGCTGGCACACAAAACAGAACATAAAATCACAACATAAAATCAGGCCTGTTCCTCTCTCGATCTTCACAGTTGTCGCTCCTCCTTTATGCTTCCGCTCCTCCGTGAGAGATACGAGACAGGTGTCGTTCACTATCACTCACGCCACCGGCCTCGCGCCTCTCTCTCACGTCCCTCGGCCTCGTCCTGCTCGCCACAACATTATTT